ATACATACATGCAGGCAAACAAAGAATATTTTTAATCTTAAAAAAATGTAGATCTAGAAGATGAAAAGGGTAAGGAAATATTTTCTCCCCCAGGCAGGTGAAACTAATTTTGGATTTCTAATCCCCAGAAGTGCAAGGAATTAAATGTGTTTAGTTTCAAGACACCAAGATTACCATGACTTGTCATAGCAGTAGTAGGAAATGGGTATGATTGACAGATAAAGATTCACTCACTGACAGTGGTGACCCCACAGGTGCAGAAGAGAATGGAACATTCTAGGGTTAAGCCAAACATCCTTAAGGGGTACTTTATATCCGTGTGTGATTTATTTGGGATCTGGGTGGTGGGGCCCCAAAGATTAAAGAGTAAAGAGTAAAAACAAAAAACCAACAACATTCTCCCTCTTTCTTTTTGTCAGATTAGCTAAGGACTTGTCAACTTTATTTACCTTTTCAAAGAATCAACTCTATTTAATTGATGTAGTGTATTATTCTTTTAATCTCTGCTTCATTTATTTCTCTATTAATCCTTATTATCTCTTGATGTCTAGTGTGGTTTGGACTGAATATTTATTGATTTCAAGTGTCTTGGGATGTATTGTTAGGGTTTTTATTTGATGTTTCCCAGATTTTAAGTACAGGCACTTCCTACTCTGACCTTTTCTCTTAGGACAATCTTGGCTGCATGCCAGAGGTTCTAATGGAATATGTTTTTGTCTCCATTTGTCTCCAGGCATTTTTTTTTTCATTTCTTCTCTGATGTCTTGGATAGCCCACTATTTCCTATTTGATCAAAATGTATTGTTTAGTCTCTAAATATTTTTATGGCTCTTGTAGTTCCTCTTATTGTTGATTTCTAGTTGTATTACATTATGGTCTAATCAGAGGCAAAGATTTATCTTAAATTTTTTTGTATTTGTGAGATTTAATTTCTGTCTTGTGATGTAGTCAATGTGAGAAAAAAGTTTCATGTGCTGCTAGGAAAAATCCTTTTCCCTCCCTGTTGGGGACAAATATATATAAGATAAATGTTAACTCTAGTTCACTCATAGTATATTTTAGCTCTGAACTTTCTTTGTTTTTAGTTTGGAAGATCTGTGTAAGTATAAGATTGGAATACTGAAGCCCTCGCAAATATTCTGTCAGGACTTATGTGCCTCTTGTGTCTGTTACTGTGTGTTTTATGAAATCCAAGACCCCAATATTTGGTGCATAGAAATTACAAATGTTATACCTTCTTGATGAATTATCCTTTTAATTAATGTGTACTGTCCATTTTTATCTCTTCTAATTAGTTTTGAAGTTTTCTTTGATATAAAGCTAGCTGTTGCCTGCTTTTTATGTTTTCCATTTGCTTGGTAGTTAGTTTTCCATCCTTTGACAATAAGATTTTGTATCTACTTCTTTTTATAAGTGTGTTTCTTAGAAACCACACATGGTCTTGGCTTTTCATGCAGCCATTAGCCTGTATCTTTTGTAATAAGTTCAGGGCATTTACTGTTATTTACAGAGAGGGGTTTCCTGTTTTCTAAAACTGTGTTGGGTGATTTTTTGTTTTGTTTTGTTGGCTTTTTGCTGTTTCTGTTCCTTCTACTGTGTTAATTTTCAGGGTTTGCTGAGTTCCTATATTGGGCATGGTTGTCTCTTTTCAAGGTCCAGTCTGTTTGTCTGCAGTTCTGAGGGAGTGGACATTTTGATATGTTTCCATGAAGAAGGGCCAGCTTTCTTCTTCCCTGGAAAGTATCCCACTAGGAACATTCTACACTGCTGAGGTATTTATTATGGATTGCATTAATTTGTATTTGTATCAAAATATCTTTACTTCTCCATAAATCTTGAAAGATGGCTTTGGAAAGAACCTGTAATAATGGACCTTATATAAAATTAAAAAGGAATTAAAATATATCCAAACAAAGGTAAGTGTTCCCCATACCTCCATCCCCTACACATCCAATATACTTCTTAGAATGACAGCTGTCACTCTTAGGAGTGCCTTCAGACATTTGCCATCCTTTATAAAATGTCAGGAACTAGGACAATGTAAGCAACAAGAAGGGACCACTCACCTGGGCCTTAGCTCTGCTTTCTTGAATTTGCCCTGATCGGCCTTCTCCCCATAGCCCCCTGTGATAAAATTTAATTAAGACATAAGCTTTAACATGTTACTATTTCTTTCCTTTATTCAATTCTCTAAGTAAGAGGCATCCTTGGTAAATTTCACAAAACTGCCTTCCTTCATGATAGGCTCATGCATTTTGTACTCACCAACTTTGATATATAAAAATCTAACTTTATTCTTTCCACAATTGAATCCAGCTCCCCATCTCCATTTCGTCGGGTGGTAGGAAATTTCATCTGGCTGACAAGATAAACATTCCATCTGGCTGACAAGATAAACATGGCTGCTTCCTGGTTCTTTTCCCTATTGAGAATGATCCCTTGCCTGTCTTTCTTTACTTCTCCTACTCCTCCCACACAAGCCTGGACTCTGCCAGCATCTGATGAGAAGCCTCTCAGCACTCTGGGACACTGGATCAGTCCTGCTGATCTGTCGGTTACTTTACATGTCCTCTGAGGTCATGGTGCTGCTCTGTCCCTCTTGTCCCACTCAATCCCCTCTGAACAAGCATGGTCCCAGCTATGACAACTAGGGACAAGGAAAGGGCTAAACAAGCCACCATCAGTGATGAGAAGAAATAAGCAACGGCTATAATAATCATAAGATGGAGGACTCTGGAGGGCTACCTAGAAACTGACTCCAAAGAAGATGTTGAGTTCAGCTGTAACCTATCCTAAATTCTCCACACTATGTAAAACAATTGTTTTTCAGACTGTGCACTGCCCTGAGAGACTCCATTTTTTCTAAAAACTGGCTTGTGACTCTATTTTGAGAATGAAGAATGACTGTGCACCTGGCTGGGCACATGAATGGTGCCACCTATCTGGCACCACCCATGCCACACAGGAAAACAAATAACTTGTCTTTAGGAATAGAAATGGTGACACTTTATAAATTTATATATTTAATTGAGACTCTATGGGGCACATAGAAGTACACCATATCAGAATGCCCAGCCCAAGAACTTAATGGACACATTAGACCAATGAAAGTGTAACTCCTCATTGGAGACCATAAAAAGGGGACATATAGCACTGTGAAATCCCCACCAACCTGTTATCTGAGCTCTTGGTTTGTGTGTCAAGGATCAACAGGCAGAGAACTCAGGACTGTCCCCGGGTTTCAGGATGGCTCCTTCTCTGCTGTTGATATAGCTGACTCTACCGTCATTGGTTTATCTTCTTGTTCCCCCACCTGGACCTGCCATCCATCATCTGTCCTCCATCCTTCATCCCAGCCTGGTCCTGCTCTGTGCTTCTGCAGCTAAACTCAACTCTGCAGCTTTGCTTTCAAGCAGGTGACTTGAAGTGGCCTGACTTACAGTAACCTCAGCTTCTCCAGCTTCTCCCCACATTCTGGTTTATTATCTTATCAATATAGACTCTACTTACATTCCTCTGTTTCTCTGCTCCTCAGGACTTCAGAAACCTCTTGAACTCTGCTGTGGCCTATTAACACTTTACAGCCATTTCTGTAGTGTGTGTGTGTGTGTGTGTGTGTGTGTGTGTGTGTGTGTGTGTGTATGTTTATAGACAGAGATAGATTTACTGTGTGTTGTATATAATGTGATTTGAGAGCTATTATTAGTGATTAAGGTTGGAAAAAAACCCTGTGCTTGTCTTGGCCAGGTTTACCAAGGAAAGTAGAACTGCCTGGGCAGTTGCTTCCATTAAAACTGCTGTGTCTTAAGCCAAATGGTGGTGGCGTGTGCTTTCAATCCCAGTGTTTGGGATTCAGAGCCTGGAGGATCTCTGAGTTTGAGGCCAACCTGTTCTACACAGCAAGTTCTAGGAAAACTAGGGCTACAAAGATAAACCATGTTGGGGGGTGTGGGGGAAAACAAACCCACAACAATGCTGTGTCTTGTGAATTATGATTATTCCATAAATTATGACATTATAAACAAACACAAATGAATTTGCCTATGTTTCTGACACAGCATGCATACAACAGAGGGGAGAGAGTTACAGGCACACAGGCATGTCTCCTCAAACTCAAGGAAGCACTGGAAACACATGGAGCAGAGCATGTGACCAAAGAAACCACTCTCAATCCCTGAGAAGTAACTGTACAAAATGAGATATCTCCAAAGCCAGCCACAGGATGACTGGGGCATCCCACAGCTGTTGGAGTTTTACCACTATAGCTCCTTCTCTGAGAGTCTACAATTGGGGCATCAAATAGGGCAGGTATCTAGTCAGGAACTAGAGACACTGCGTGTTCTCCTAGGGCTCCCATCCCTTCTCTGCTCACCTGTGCGGCTTTCTTTATAGAAAGAAAGCACTGACTTACAGAAAAGCACTGGTCAAACACAATCAACCTTCATAGTGGAGCTTATCTCTTTACTTTCAACTAGCCCAGCCTCTTTGAAATCTTTGAGTATCATTCTCTTCCAGGAGAGATTTCACTGCCTATTTCTGCAGGGAAGAGGGGCCCAGATTCCACATCTGTTTAGGGAATCCTTAGAGCTACAAAGGACACAACTACCACCTGTCCCAGAAGCAGGCCACAACCTTACACAACTGGATGTCCATGAAGCCCCAGATGACCCTGACACTCCACAGTGACCGTCTCGGTGTCAGCTCTCACTCTGACATGCTGAGCCACACGGAAACAATTACATCCTTTGCTCACCGTTCATAAAGGGCTAAGTGTGCTGTAAGCAGGAACACAGTGCTAAAACCAGTTCTTGACTTTTCCTGGTTCTATATCTTACCTACCAATGAACAGTCCTCCAATTGTGTTCAGAAAGAAGCCAGTTATGAAACGGAAAAAGAAGCCAGGTTATGGGCAGGCATTTTCTGGAAAGGTCTCTTTTCTATATTTGCCAATTGTCTGTCCTCTGTCACTCCTGTGCCTCTTACTGAGTAGATAAACTGATTTTTGCATTCAGCCCAGCCAGAGCCAACATGAAGACAGCCACAGTCTTGGTTCTGGTCGCTTTCTTTGCCATAATGATGGGCGCGGCCTGTGCTCTGTCTTCTCCCGAAGGTAAGTGTGCTAAGGGGATCCAAGCTAAGAGCAGAGAGGGCTCAAAGGTCACTAGGGCTTGAGGCTCAGATGCCACAAGAGAAATTCATGTGTCCACTGCTTGGAATGAACTCACTTCCTTTGGTCTCTAAGAGTGGTCACTCTGCATTTCTTATCTTTCTTAAGGGAGAGAGCTATATCTGACAGAAGCTGGGGTAGAGATCAGGACAGATCCTCCAGTGTGGAGATGGGCCTTGATGTGGGGGTCACTGAAACTGTTGCTCCGGATGAACCTGGGGTATGGTGGGATGAGAGAGGTCTGGCTATCATTAGAGGGTTTACAGCATCTTCTCAGATATAAAGAAGGGGCTGTGTCAGTGGAAGTTTCTTTCTACTGAAATTATAGACTTGGAGAGGGAGCACGCTTCCCCAATGGCCAGGGAACACTCAGGCCTAAGAGAGAAAGAGACTGCACCTGGGGAAGCTGAGGGAAGAGCCCCGGATGCAAAGGGGGATACAGAATAAGCTAGTTTCCTGCAGGTGACCAGGCTTCCAGACCTCTAGCATCAGTCCTCAGCCTTGTCTTTCTGACTGCTTCAGGCTCCATAAACAACATTTTTTTTCCAGAATTACAGAAACCTGGAGCTTGTCCCGTTCTGCCGCCAAATACTTTTGGAACTTGTGATGAGAGATGCACAGGAGATGACTCATGCTCTGGAGAAATGAAGTGCTGCAGCAATGGTTGTGGTCATGTCTGCAAACCTCCTGTCTTCAAAGTGAGTATTGTCCTCTGTCTTACTTTCCTTTGTGGTGACAGCTTGACCAAGGCAGCTACAGAAGAAAGAGTTTATTAGGGTCTTACAGTTTCAGAAAGTGAGTCCATGACCATTATGGTAGGGATCATGACAGCAGGCAGACAGGTATGGAGCTAGAGCAATAGCTGAAGGCTTACATCTTGACACAACAATAATGAAGCAGAGACCAGTCTAACTGGGAATGATGTGGGCATTTGCAACCTCCAAGTCTGTCCACAGTGATAGATCTCACCAAACAAGGTGAGATCACACCTCCTAATCCTTCCCCCAAATGCTCCAACAGCTAGGGACCAAATTCAAATATATAAGCCCATGGGGGCCATTATCATTCAAACCACCACATCCTTTCAAAATATGTGCAAGGGAGTGAGTGAGTTTCCAGGAGACTTTGCTGGGACAGTCCCATGTGGCTTTGTCCACTGACTGCACACAAGAGTCTGGATGTGTCCAAGAGAAAGAACTGGAAGTACAGGGCAGCAGAACCCTGGGTTACAGGATCTGTGGCCCTCTCCTCTGCAAAGCAGTCCCACTGAGACTAAAGTGACACAAGTCACCAGGACTGAGGTCCACATGGTCATAAACTGGGATATCT